GGGGGGGGGGGGGGGGGGGGTTGCGAAATGTGAGATTGTCAGTTTGTGTACGGCGGTAAACAATGGATATCAACAAGGACCGCCTACGCAGGATTTAAAGAGTATCTACCTAGAAAAATAATAGGGAGGGGGCACGCAGACCGTATCCCTCACCCTAACCCCAAAGCACGGATTCAATACTATATCCCATATGTTTGCTTATTCAATGTTGCCGCGTAGACTACTGATCAACAAATACTTGTTCGGCGTGCACACGCCGCACGAACCCTACCCTCTACGACTTCGCTCTGCAGACTTGAGAAAACGTAACAGGCTACTACTTCTGGCCGGTAAGATTCTTGAGGCGACGATATGTGTGTGCAAGGGTAATATCTGTGTCCATGTCCCAGACTAAGTACGGGGGGGGGGGGCGGGAAGGGGCGTCTATTCGTTTGACCAATCAAACAAGCACCTCTTGCGAGAGAGAGAGAAGGAGCACTCCTACCCCCTAATAACTGCTCCCATTCATAGCGGTGGGGAGCACAGCAGAATACATACCTGGAGAGGGACCTCCGCGTCCACGTCCCAGACCTTGACGGTCTTGTCCTCGGAGCACGTGGCAAGCATGCCTGGCACCAGGGGCGTGAAGGAGACGGCACTGACCCCCTTCTCGTGAGCGGTGAAGGAATACACCGGGCTCTCCGGCCGGCGGACGTCGCGACAGCAGACCACGCCGTCCTCCGATCCCGTCAAAATCTACATACAGTACAAGCGTAACGGTTGGTTGGTTGGTTGGGTGCATTTGGCATTATTTTGTCATGTTCAATGGTAGTTTTTTGGACGGGATTTGGTTGGCTGATGTATTTAAGTTGTCATTGAGATGGGTTAGGGATATGTTGGCAGACCTTGTTTTCATTTTTTGCTCTTTGATTGTGTACGCAGACCCCTGTTCGCGAGCAAATGCGACGATGCGTGAATCGTGTTTCCTTTAATATTCTGGCTAACCTTTGTGGCAAGATGACGACGTGAGTGTTAAAAGGTCAACATCTCTGTGTACGCAAACCCACAATCTTCGCCAAATCCTTGTGGACGCGTGTAAACAATCTAACAACAACAACAACAACATCGACAACGACAACCCACCTGAGCCGGGTTGTGGGGATTCCACAACAAGCACTCCGGGTCCGCCTGTATCGTGTGTCTCGTCACCTTCGTCGGCGCACGCGCGTCCAGCAGCGCGAGCACCCGGTCATAACTTATCAACGCAACAAGAGATCGATGACACGACGGTTACACGGACGGTGGCAACGTGCAGGACATAACAAAGAGGGGTTAGATTACCATAGTAGGCGAATCAACACTGAAACGTCCTGGGCTCGGGCACAGCCCCAGGCACAGGCTCAGTCGAAAAACACAACCATCGTTGCTCCGGGAATCGAATAAACACAGGCAGCGCTCCAGCTAACTCTTCGGATTCAATGCTAATTTTGTCTCAGACTCTTACTATCTGTGGATAATATTGTCCGGGACTCTATCTGCGGATAGAGGTGGATTCGTTGTGATATAGGAACAATAAAAGAAAAAGAATGCGGCAAAGTAGTCCTGAATAAAACTAAAGCTTGACCATTACCGTTGTGGCCCGAGCGGCGTGTACTCAATCGAATGCATGCGAGGCTTCTTACAGTGGACTCATCTTGTGAACGAACAATTCTGGTATACATACATATTCCTCTCGCTTGACAACTCTCGCAAGGACTGACTGCTGCAGGGAGGAGGAGGAGGAGGAGGAGGAGGAGGAAATCGTTTTGTTTTCTCACCCCACGGTGGCCATGACCGTCGCTTCGACGGGGTGCCAGGCCACCCCCTGCACCTTGTCAGAGTGGTGCGTGAGCGTGGCCGAGCACTGCTGCGTCGTTACGTCCCACACCTGTCAACGCACGGCACCGCCAAGACAATCATCACCATCACCACCACCACCACGTCAACATCAACAACATCAACAACATCAAGGACAAATATTGTTCATGTCTCCTTGGATTGAGATCATGGGTCAGAAGAGAGAGGATGCGGGGGGGAAGAATGTTGTCTTCAAAACTATAATACGAGGATGGGCAGCACAATGACAAGGTTCGAACGGGACGTCAAAAAACAACGACACAATCGAAGCACAGTCATCAATCCTCCGTAGAAGGAAGCAGCACAAGCTTGGCAGGCGGCGCCACGCGTTGCAACCAAGCGTGCGGCAAGTTCTGATATGTGTTCCGCCGGAAGGGTGATACAAAGTGCAGCAGCAGCAGTGTTGGCAGCACAGCAATCATGGCCTGCGCCATGGTATTCAGCAAGCAGGCAGCACCCCCCAAGATCGATCATTCTTGCGACGAGCAGCGGAAGAAATGAAAAAACGGGTCACTGGGAAAAAAATCTTTGTGCTACAAGAAAGGAAGGGACGAAGCAAGAGCAGGAATGGCCCGGGTATAGTTATTTCTCTCTGGTGTCCATGTCTACCTTGACGGTGTTATCCCCCGAACCGCTCGCTAGCACGTGTCTGTGCTCCCTGTTCCAGCTCAGCGCCAGGACCGCGTCGGTGTGGCTCCCGGGGATGGTCTGCCGTTTTCTGGGCCTGCTCGTACGTACGTACGCACGCACACACGCACACGTTGTTCATTGGTCAGCCGGTTGGCGCGGTCGATGCTAATAATAAGAAAAACACACGCACACAAGCGCACGCGTTCAAAATAAATGAAGAGAGGGCGGGCAGACGGACAGACAGAGAGAGAGGGAGAGAGAGAGAGAGCATTGAAGTGGCCTGCCCATCGAATGGAACTTTTCTACCCAACCTCTGTACAACGAAACATCTGCCCTGATCCCCCCCCCCCCCTCCTCAGCCGTTCGGCATCCCTCAAGACCGGTCGAGAGAAAGGCCTGGCCCAGGCCATCTCACTTTTTCCCGGGCTTCTTGTCCTTTTCCTTGAACCCGCCTAGCGTCGCCGTCGGCTCTAAAGGGTCCAACACGTCAAGGTTCCAGATCTCGATCCCCGGTTCGAAGGTGCCCACCGCACAGTAGCTCCTACACACACGAACCAAGGCATCAAAAAATAACAGGGCAAAACCGAGGAACGCAACAGCGAGGAGGCACGTTAAGACTGCGCGAGGGTCATGACGTCACGACGGAGAGGTGTAGAACGTGAGCCAAGAGTGGCGTCTTGAATTAATTGTTGGTTGTATCGCAAAGCCAAATGGCGGGGAGGGTGAGACGGAGAGAGAGAGAGAGACAAAGGGCGCAGGGGGTGGCACGACAGGCGAGGGACGAGGCACGTGCAACCAACCCAGCACGAACAAGAGGGAACCAGGTCGCTTGCCTGCCTGTCTACCAACGTCAACAACAGCGGTTACGTCTACCTAATGTTGCGAACGCCCACCGACTACCACAACTGCCGTCGCAATCAAGCACGACGCACACCGTGCTTCGTGGTACCCAACAAATCGACATCATGTACAGCAGTAGACATAGGAGCACTGACGAGGCTAACCCCAACGCAACCAAGAGGTGTCGGTAGCACCGAGGGGCCTACCGAAGGCAAGCCTGACGCTAAGCGTAAAACGGAGGCGGCTCACCCGACAGTGTGACCCTCGTCGGCACTCCCGGACACCCTAGACATCGCCGCCGTCCTCGGCGGCATGTCCATCCAGGCGAGGCAGAGGGGCAGCGACGGCAGGGCGATGTCGTGGTGCACGTACAGGTTGCCTGTTTCCTCCGAGTACACCTGGACCTCGAGAGCCGAGTGCTCGTCCTGATCCCACGCGACAACAACAACAACAACAACAACAACAACAACAACAGCGTCAGGGTACCGTTAAGGGGCAAGGGACACGGGGATGGGGTGTGGGCGGCGCAAGGAGTGAGGACCATAGCAGAGAGATAAACAAGACAGCGAGAAAATTGAAGATTGACTTCTCTCTGCGGCAGTTTTAAGTCTTGCGAATCTCCTGCTGTAGCAGCTGTGCGTGAGTAAAAACGTGTGTACAGCTCTCAAAAGACCAACTTTCCAGCAGCCGGTGGTTGTGCACACGCGTGGACTAGGAGGCATGACACGGCACGCTTGATTCATTCGTGAGAACCAAGGCAAAAACGCCGCGCGTAAACACGTACCTCCTCGGTGCTGGCCGTGAGCAGCACGTGGTCCCCCGGCTTGATGATGTTGTCCTCGGTGTCGGAATCCTCCCCCTCCGACTCGTACGCGAACACCTGCCCGGTGCTGGGCTCCTCCAGCAAGCTCACGCCCATCGCCTCACCCTCGCCCTCTTCCTCCTCCTCCTCCTCCTCCTCCTCCTCCTCCTCCTCCTCCTCCTCCATGGCGTCCAAGTCATCACCGTCGTCGTCGTCGTCGTCGTCGGAATCGCTCCCGTCCCCGCCTTCGCCGCCGTCCCGGGGGCCCGATACCGTTAGCCCCGGCTCGTTGTCGTAGTCGTCCATGCGCAGTTCGGGAGGCAGCTCGTCGTCGCCGCCGCCGCCAGCGGCGGCGCCTCTGGCAACTCCCTCAGCGCCGTCGCCGAGGATGTCGTTGTCGTCGGCCACCTCTTCGTCCTCTGCTATCCTGAGAGGTTAGCGGAGGGGAGCAGAGAGAGAGAAGGTGGGGGGGGGGTGCAAACATGGTCGAGCGGAGGTTTGATCAGGGCTCGATGCATCTACCCATGTTGGATGTCCTGACGGCTGTGCTGGAAATGCATCTACCCATGTTGGATGTCCTGACGGCTGTGCTGGAAATGTTGTTTCCAGAAAGGGTTGCATCGCAGAACTACCACCAACTTCAACTCATAAAATAACGCCACGGCTCATGTATGGCGTGTTACTTCCACCCCGTTCGTGCTTGTAAACATGAATAACATGCACCCCAGCAGTTCGCCCGGGTAGTAAATACTTCTAGTAAAGATACATGTATTTCACATACCATCTCCACAGCAGTAGAACAACGCCGACGATACAGTTTAACAAACATGCCCGTTGACCATAAAATGGCTCCAAACACGCGGTCTGATGTACCATGCTACCGCCGTTTGAGGCTGCAATATTCGTCGATGAACACAACGTTGCACTGGACTGTCGAGATCCACCAACCCCCATCATCCTCTGCTTCGGGAGGGAGAAGGAGTGCGGAAATGTCCCATCCTATCTCATGGCGTTGGCTGTGGATGCTACGAGCTTGTACCGGTAGTGCTCTCAACACTGGTTGCCATCTAATCGGCCAACCCGGAGGCTGTGTGCAGCGTTCTTGTGGACGCCTCAATCAGGTGTCGGGAACAATCGGGTATACTGCTGCTGTGTCGTGATGTGGTGCTCACACAACCAGTCCTGGGTTATTTATCAAATCCCTCACGATTTCTCCGCGCTCTCTCTCTGTCCCACTCCCACTCTTACCCCTGCTCCCGCATCATCTCCTCTAGCTCGCGTTGCGATACCTCGTAGCGCAGAGGCTTGCTTTTCGATGCCCCCCTGGGGACCTGCCGAACGGAGAGCGGGGGCAAGGGAACAGCGGCGCCCAGGGCTGAGGTGCGAAGGAAGAAGGTCGCACACAGCAACATGCCGGTGAACAGCTACTGGTGGTGAATGGATGTCTCTCCCTATCAACTACAGGTTTCTTTCTCTCTTTGCGAGGAAATCACCCAAGATATAATTAGTACCCACCCATGACAGCGAGCTGATCATGCCTCGACGTGTGTGCGGCCGCGTGGGCTGTGTGGCTGTGGTGAGAGGGAGGCTGCGTAAAATGGACGTGCCGGGACCAGACGAGCGAGCTCTCTTTAGGGGGCTCCGCAAAATGTTTATTGGTTTGAATCCCGGCATGGGTGTCAGTTTCCTTTAGGTTCCTCCTTCGCGCCCCCTCTGCCAGCAAATCAGTCTTTGTTCCGCTTTCGCGCTCAACACCGCACCACCGCTCTGTGCCGCCTCTTCAACAACAAGAAGCGGTTGCCGTTCTTGCTCCTGTGGGCCCTTCGAGAAGGGAGACGAAAGAAGCGAAGGGACGAGAAAGCTGCGACGGAGCAAGAGGGGGGGTTGTTTTTTCTCCGTCTGAAAAAATTATCGACAACTTCTTTTTGGACGCGGCAGAAGCAGCAGCAGCAGGCACCAGGTGTTGGGGCAACGTCGACAAGACACCGGGGTCTGTTGGTCTGTTCGTGTTTGCACGAAGATGACCATGGAATCATACCGTTCTCTCTAAGCTGAGCGCTGCTGAGCTGATTTGCCATTCCTGGTCGCGACTTGCTTGCGTGGGCTATCACTGAGCAGGGGGAGCGAAGGCAAAAAAACACCTGTCGTCCCCACCAACTATATAAAGGAGAGGCACAAAGGCGAGGGCGTCTCTTTTCTCGGAACAAAACAATTTCCCCTGCTCCGCTTCCTTCGGGGGGGGGGGGTCACGACGAGCGATAGCACCCACCACCACCGGGGCGTCGCACCCGCGGTGTAAAGGACAGCAGTAGTCTCCGTTTCGTGTGTGTGCGAGTCAGAGAAGAGCAACTCCTTCTCGTGCGGGCTGTATAACCGGGTTTTTCAAAAAACGAGGAACGCGGGCCGCGCGCGCGGTGGATTACAAGCTACTTCTTTCTAGTGAGTGCTGTGGAGATCAGCTGGTGGAGATGCCTGCCCGAGAAGCAAGCAGGGGTGCCACCAGACGGCAGCGCCCCAGAACGGCCCCAGACCTGAGCCTGAGCCCGATCGGAAAAGGAATTGCTTCGAATGCGAACGGAAACGGAAACGCTGCTAGGCCGTCAAGACCTGGTGCCGCGGGCGGCAGCAGGGGGGGCGGAGGAGGAGGAGGGGGAGGGAAGCGGGCGAACGGAAGGCCAGCAGGCCGCTCTGGCGCTGATGCGGTTGCTGCTGCTGGTGGGGGTGCTCCTGCCGAGGTGAGCAACGGGGATGCGAAAACGCGACGCTCCTGTAGCAGCACCTGGGATGACGTCGATGCAATTGTTTTCATTCATGCGTCGCGGTCTCGGCTGTTCTCTTGGACAACAAACAAAAAAAACGTCGATCGCTGCTTCAGAAGTGCCTTCTATTTTCTATTTCCCGGTTTCTGGTCCAGAACTGACGCGTACACCTTCCCGTGGTGGTGGTCATAGGCTAACCGAAAAAGGGCACGCAGACACTTGCTTGTGAAAAATCAAAGAGAAGTAATGAAACATTCATCAAGACTACTTACTGCTGTGCTCACCAGAAAAGACCACCGTGCGAGACGAATTGAGTGGTGCATGGATACATCCATCATACAATCCTACAGATTCCGCCTGTTGTTAGTTGTAACACTCGATATGCACACGTTGTATTGTAGGCATCCGCGATACTGCATGCCCGCTGCCTATTCCCCCCCGTACAGAAGCAGCAGTAGTGTCTTGCCCACATGCATGTGTCCCACAGAAGGTTGTGGTGTTGATTTGAGTTGGGGTACATTACATTCGACCGCCCGACCACGAACCTTCCGGAGGGCAAGTAACTACGAACACCCGATCGATCAAATCCTTGCCCGAAAGCCTGCCGAGAGCAAACAAAAATTCAGACCACCACCACCACCACCGCCACCATCCCAGCCCTTTTAATTTCAACGAGCTTATTTGTTGCGCACATCCTTGTCAGAGCACCAGTAGCCCCGCGCCGCGCTCCGTTGTTAACGCCCGCGGTGCCGCCCGAGAAGAGAAGAGGCGTTGGGCGGCAGGAAGTTGTAGTAATCATGCCTAGAGGCAAGCAAACGCTCTCCTGTAGCCTGTGTGGCACCCCTCAGAACGACGGGGCCAGAGGTTTACAAAGCCCGGTCCGGATCTGATGTGCACCTACAGCCTTCGCTGTCAAAACGACAACGAGATGCACCCAAGAACCTTCATCATTTGCAACCCCCGCCCCCCGGCCTCGCCTTGTGTTCCTCATTTGTTGGCCTTTTCAGGCCGGTCTCTTTCCACACGCTCTTTATTTGGCGAGAAGATTTTGTTGCGAACGCGTTACATGAATTGCGTATCCTGAGTACCCTGAATAGGCTTCACGTTATGCGTGGATATCTTCGAGTTAGCTCGCACATCACACACTGCGCTGTTTCGCTACGGCCACTGGCAACCACAAAATGCCGCACGGTGTGTGATAGCGCTCTCCTCGCCACTCCCCGTCCCCCGCCACCCCGGCCCCACCCCCTCCATATGCTTGAACAATGCCCGCTCCAATGCTAAGCAGCAGCCCGAGCTGCTGAGCCGGTTCATCCCTGCAGATCCTTGGGTCGGCCGGGTATCCCTCTCGTCGCCCCAGGCACCGGGGGGTTTCTTGTCGGCGGCGGTATCGGCGACGCCGGTGGTGGTGATGGTCGCAAGCAACGGCGGCGGCGGCGGCGGCGGTTCAGGTGGCGCATCGTCTGCAGTGTCCCCCGTTAAGGGCAGCAACAACAGCAACAATGACAACAATAGCAGCACCAGCACCATGGATGCGAGCAGTAGCGGTAGCAATGAGCATGGCGGCGGCAGCGGACGCGGCAATGGCGGAGCGGGAGTGAAGGGAGTGGTCGGGCTGACCAACGAGGGGAACTTCTGCTACCTGAACGCTAGCCTGCAGGCGCTCGCGAGGTGTGCTCCATTCCGGGCGCACCTGGTGGAATGCGTCCCTGGTCCTAGTGTCGCTGGGCGTCCGTGGTGAGTTGTGGGCGTGTGTGCATGTTTCTTCAAGCCGTCGTTTTTGGGGGTGATTGCACAACGGTGGTGTGGGGGTGAGTTTTGAGGTGTTGAGGTGAAAGTTTGCGGTGCCCGGCCGGCCATTGTGAAGCTGTCGCCGTTCAAGGGCAAGAAGAAATGGCTAAAATTGTTGAAACTGGTGCAGGGCTTGTCGCGCTCAACAGCTCGTGTGCCCTCGCAAGCTTTGAGGCATTTCATGATATGCAAGCGGTATGGTTCTGGCAGATGTTCTTGCTGTGGAAGGTGGAGTGCATCCAGGTGCAGCAAGAAGTTTGCTGGGGCATAGAAAGGGCCTCGGAAGTGTCTGATTCGAACACCCGATGTCCCCTTGACAAGTTTTGGGTTAATCAGATTCCTAGAAGCCAAATGCCGCCACTCCGTTGAGCAGGCGACCGCCGCCATCTCCGGTGGTTGCCTCCCTCTTTTCTCTCTCTCTCTCTCTCTCTCTCTCTCTCTCTCTCTCTCTCTCTCAATCAGGCAACCCAGAGCGAGGGCAACCACTGTCAGTTGCATGTGCCCGACGAATCAATCAACCGCCGCCAAATCGAAACCAATCGCATGCCTCGTGTCGTCATTCCCACGCTCCCACTACAACAACAGCCCGCTAGCCTTCGCCATGTCCAAGCTCTATTCGGAGATGTGGTCGGACGAAGGCGGCGGCGGCGGTAGCGGCGGCGGCCGGCGGCGGGCAGAGACACCGGCGGAGGTTATCCGCGCTCTCGTCAAGGGAAACCGCTGGTTCGCCGGCAACGGGCAGCACGACGCGCACGAGGCGCTGCGGTCGATCTTGGACCTGCTGCACGAAGAGCTCAGACGCCCGGTGAGAAAGGACGTCGGGAGATGACAAGAGAGGGCGGGAGAGGGAGGGAAGAACAGCGAAAAAGAGTGCCGAGTTCCGTTTGTTGGAATTTTTCTCGCTCCCGCAGACAGATGACCCTCTGTTGTTTACCATTGTCTGCACCACATGCGCTGTTTCATTTTCTCTTCGAGACCCTGTACGTGGGGGCCACCTACTAAGGAAAATCACACGCGCAACGTGATGTGCTCACCACCACACAACCCCCCGCTGACGTTCCCCCACGCGAGAAGGTGCCGGTGAGCTTCGAGCCCGGACACGCGGCCTTGACGGCGGCGATGGCCGCCTCCTCGGCGGAGTCCGCGGCCGCCGCCGATACCGCTGCCGCCGCCGCCGCCACCGGTCCGTCTACGGCCTCCCTCCTCGACGACCCGTCGCAGAATCACCATCCGTCCGCTCAGGCTTCCGCCGCGGCAACGGACGCGGGCACCGACAAGAACAAAAGGCCGAAGCAGGGAGGAAAGGCCACCCCGCCGGCCACGCCCGCGGACGGCGTGTGGAGCGCCAGCGGCGGGGACGGCGGCGGCAACGAGCGGTCGACCGAACGGGTAGCGTCTGGGGACGGAGCAACCGCTCAGGTCAGTCCGGGGTTCTGCGTGATCACCTTGGGTGGGAGGCAGCGTCGTGGGCCAAACTTTTGAAACGGCTCTTGGGTGCCCGTATTTTTTTTACGTTGTCGGGAGGCGTCGGGTGGATTAGACGCTGCGACCACCTCACCTACTTGCTTCTATACCCGTCCTCCCCCCCTCCCTCCCCGCCTGACCTCGTGTCGCAGCTTCCGACCTTTTTCGTTTTTCGCTCCTTCTGCCGCTCGCCGTCATCCTCCGCTCTGCCCCACGCATTCCTCTCGTGCGATTGTCCACTCTTGACCTTTCTGTGTCCATTTATCACGGCCGCGACAACAAACGACGGGCAACCAAACACCTGCGTGCAGCGCGATGTATACTGGCAAAGCGCCGCCGCGGAAACTTTCCAGGGGGTCCTCCTCGGCCGCATCACCTGCCGCACCTGCGGCCGCCACTCCGACCACCCGGACCGCTTTTACGACCTCTCCGTCCCCCTCCTCGCCGCCTCCGCGGGCTCGGCCTCGGCGACGGCGGCCGGCGGGTGCAGCGCCGGGGCTTCCTCCGCCTTCACAGCGCCGGCGGCGGCGGCGGCGATGAGAGGGGACCGTCACCACCACCAGGAGGAGGCGACGACGACGACGCTGGGAGGTCCCGGGGGGGGGGAGATGACGCCGACGGTGGAGAGCCCGCGAGCGGAGTGGGAGCCGTCGGACGTGAGCGACAAGCGAACGGGGTTGGGGGGGCGGTCGGTGATGACGGTAGGTGGGGCCGACGGCGAGAGCGAAGCCGCGGGGGGGGGGGGCCCCCCCTCCGACTGGGGAGGGTGGCGGCGGACCAAGGGGGGGGGGGGCT